TCCACAAGCTTGTCCTCTCCCTGGCTGTCCCAAATCCGTCTTTGTTTTTGTTCCCCCGATGCCTCCTCCTTTGTTTCAATTTCCACGCCTTTAGTTGTGCTATGCGCTGTTTCTGAGATAGATATCTTCCCCCTCCTCCCATTCCACCATCAGACTTATTATCCCCCATATTTCTGCGGCCTCTGTTAGAGCTCGATGAACCATCCACCAACCATTTACTTCCTCCTGTCGAACTAGTCTTCACCTCGCTACCCGCTCTAAGCTGGACCCCAATTTTTTTTCCCATAACTAGATCCTCTTCATAAGTCAGAGGGCAAAATTTATCTGAATCCTATTAAACCGCTGATAAAACAGAAGTTGGGCAACTTTTCATACTTAAAATCCACCCAATAACTCCTTCCTTCTTTCTTAAGATTGGTGCCCTTTTTCAAAGTTTTTTCCACATTCAAACTTACCCCGATTCTCATATAAGATTCCCACTTTTCACTATACCGATTATCATCATATCCTATAAATTTTCCAATAAAGTTACCAACCCGACTGGCAGTACCTAAATTTACTAGGCTGTAGGGTGCATTATGAACTTGAACTCAAAACTCAGCCTTATTTAAAACAATTTTATGCGGAATATCATCTGGCTTAACTTCTTTCAAAATCAACAAATTATGCTCAAATTGCCAAGGACCACCATCTAGCACACGTTTCATATCAACACAATGATAAAAAGTAAAAAGATATCTCTTATCACCAACTTCTTTAACCGAAATTCCCTTCTCTGGCCTCCAAAGTGATGACATGAGTTGTTTAAAGGCAGAAAATTTGACCTTCCTATCTGTCAGCAAGACTCCCACAACCGGAAACCCCGGATAGTTCTCCTCTACCGGAGAGTCCTCAATATCAGCTTCATCAAGATCTTGTTCTTCTTCCTCTTCCCCAATCACCTTTTTTTTTACTGATCAACAAAGCATTCCATGCAATCCGGATGCCTTGCCCTCCAACGGTCCTACCGAAAAGCCGCCGTTGCACTAGATTGTGTCGAAGCCCCCTCGAAGCAGACATCGCCATTCTCAAACCCGAATCCCTCAAGCCGCCGATCTCAACCGCACCCCTCGAACGAGCCTCCTTCCAAAGCTAACTGCCAAAACTGGTTGACGAGAATCCACAAATAACCCTTTGATAGTGTATTAATTCTAGAGAGAAGTGAGAGCTAGAGAGAGAAAGTGAGTAATTATATTTCTCCACTCCCTATAACTAGCCCCAAGGGGACTATTTATAGGCAAAAATGTGGATTTGGGCTCCTAGCCATGGGCTTAGGAGGCCCATTACAATAAGTATGCCTTCTTTGGGCGAAATAGGGCCACTGATGGGCTGTGTACAATACTTAGTAAATAAAGTAGAGAGATGCATTCTGCCAGGACGAAATCTGGCCGATGCGGTGCCTTTTGGCCGATGCGGTCTCATGGCCGATGCGGTCCATGGGCCGATGCGGCCCCCTGGAGTCCAGGCGTGCTTCCTGGGCCGGTTTGGTTTCTGGCCGATGCGGACCCACTGGCCGAAGGGGGCCACGTGGGTGTTCTTCTGGTCATCGTTGACTTGAGTATGTGGGCCATGGGGTCCAGGCCCATATACTCTATCACCCTTATTAGACAAAGTGAGTATTTAAAACATATATTCATTAATTAAAAAATTATATAAAAAATAGTTAAAATAGTAATCTTCACCTCTTTTAGCCAATTCAGATAGAAGAGTAACTCCAACCTTATTTATTTTATTTATTATACAATTCAACATTTCATCCTACAAAATCAAAAGTTGCGTATTTGACAAAAAGTTGACTCGTAAATTAAACCAAAAGTAAGTGTTATCGAACAGACTCAAAATAATTAAATGCATACTGATAGTAATCATTTTACATGTAAAATATATAGCTATTTTTCAATAGTATCTATATATTGTATGTAATTTATTTTTAGATTACATTTCTGTATACTCCATATTAAAATGTAAGAGACTTTTATACACAAATAGAGAAATATGAAGTAATTTACCAAACAATTTAAAGTAAATTAATTTACATAATACAATGATTAAATAAATATCCTAAAATTATAATAAATAATTAAAAACGAGTAATGTGAACCATTTACTTCCTAGATTTGACATGTAAAATACTTTTTTTCCACCTTACTAAGCCCCTTGACGCTAAAGTTCAACCCCAATTTCAATTTTTAAAGAAGAATTTAAAGGAAAAAAAATATCATTTTTAAGATTTTAAATTGTAATTCAATAGTCATTGATTGTTTTAACATCATTATATAAAAATAAAATCCTTTTCTGAATAATCTTCCCATCCAAGCATTCTTAAATTATGGTAATGCACATAGATATATGAGATAGAATCTGGAAAGAGGGAATCTCTAACAAAATACATGATCCCGAGTAGAAAGTTGAATGGTATAAAATTAAACAATATAAAAAGTAAAACGTGACAGAACTTTACGCATCTTCAACACTTCAGTACGAAGTAGTATAAAAAGCATGCATCCACACATATCCATAACAGTAAGGAGTATTAAATCTGAAAAAAAATAGAAAAAATATGAGCTTACCGAGACAATTAAGGATTGTCCATTTTTGCCTATGAATGAATACTAGAAACCTCAATTCCAAGGAGGCAAGGAACACCACTCAAACCTCACAAATTTGCTTTTGCAATATATGCTTTCCCATCAAAACCTTATGCATGTCTCTCTTTTGTAATTGCCAACTGAGTATCGTTAGGTTCATATTGGAGACTACATTTGTAAACAAAGAATTTAATTCATTCCCTAATGTGAAATATCAATCCATCTCCGCATTGGAGATACCCTCAGTTGACTTGAAAAAAAAGAACCAAACATTGTTTAAAATTAGGCTAAAGGATCAAATAGGCCCTTGAACTAACTTAATGTGTTCAATTAGCCCCTTATGTAAGAGATTCTGCCCGGCCGTCGCTAATTGGGTTGGTTCCCGGAGGATTTTTTATGAAATTTCTTTAGCATATTCTTCATTAAGTCTAGTTTACACATACCAAATTTAAACTAAAACTTCAACAGGGAAGCCATTCAGATGATTTTTTGAAGATAACTGCGCAGTTAAACAACGCAGAACATTTTGGAAAATCATTTGACTGCCTTCCCGATTTAATTTTTAGCTGAAATTTGGTATGTGTAAACTAGACTTAATGAAGAAGCTGCTAAAAAAAATTTCATCAAAAAATTCCACCGGGAACCGCCCCAATTGGCGATGGCCGCGTCGAACCTCCTTTATAAGGGACTAATTGAACACTTTAAGTTAATTCAAGGGCCTATTTGACCCTTTAGCCTTAAAATTAATAAGAAAAGACGTGTGAGCTTCTCCCTTACAAACATCGTATCCGGTAGTAGAAACAAAAGAAACCCATTAGCCCCATTCTAAATCACATATTTGTTGCAAAATTGTTATCATGTTCGTCAAATCTTTACTTGGATTTAGATTGCGTTACGCATCACTAATTTTATAAATTTAACATTCTGACTATAGCAAACAAAATTAGTACCTCATTGGCTCATTCAACTTAATTGAAACTCCCATTTTGAATGGAGATGAACGAAACGTGTAAGGAAACTAACACACATTTGTTGAACCACATTTCATGTTTCAGAGCAAATTCGCAAATGGGACTCATGAAACTATGACTATGTTTGGCGGGCATAAGTCCCTGACTTCTAGCTTTTGTACTGTTCAAAAAGTTCCTAAAAGCTTCTAGTTGTGTGTTTGACATGACAATATTTAAGAGTTTTTCAAAAATTAAAAGATCTTTTTTGAGATGCTACCGGGAGTAGCATCTAAGAAAAGCTAGTGACTTTTAGTATTAATTAATCCTAATAGCTTGTATACCAAACCGAACTAAATCAAACAGTCAACTTTTTATAAAACAGCTATCACTTTTTCTTTTTAAGATCTTTTCAGTCACTAAAAGCTAACAGCTATTAAAAAGCTCACAAAAGTATCTTTTCAGCTAGTTGTGCCAAACATGCCTATATATTACATGGGCTTTTTTATTCCAGAAACTAGCGCGTAGAAATAGCCTAAAACTAGATCAAGTAACTTTGTGGAAAGATGCAAAGTTGCAAACTTAACAGTCTAGATGATACGTAGTATTATAAGTGCTTAATCATTTCACTAAACCATCTATGAATTAGGTTGAGCTAAGATTCATGCGTCATTTTAATAGATTGGACTATATATACGAATTACGTTTAATATCCCATTATATTAGGTAATTAAAAAATATCAATCCTACCATAAAAAAAACAAATATCAATCCATTAAGTGATACAACGATAGTTGCAGGTATAATTTTTTATAATTACAAATTGTAGAAATAATTTCTAATATATTATGAAACCATAGATAAAAATGTGACTTTGTAACCATAGTCATCATAATTAGATTCAAATATTACATCTTAGTAACTATAAAAGTGTTAGAAAAATTGTATTAAAAATGCATTAAATGATCATTTTCGGGCAGATTTGTGAGTGAGCTCTACTTCCGATTTGGGTCGGATCTAAGTGGTTTCAGATTCTCCTTTTTAAAGGGTTCAATTCGATATGTGATACACTCAAAACGGATTATAAGTGAATGAGATATTGATCCTCGAAATGCACTTGTTGAGATAGAGAAATAGGAAAATTTTGAAGGTAGAACTAAATGTAGAACTACCGTCGGTTAATGGACGTTTTAATCTCTCGTTCGAACTACCAAGGTTTCAAACGTTGCCTGACGTTTAAAACTATAAAACGTGATTAAAACATGATTTAATTACGTGGTTAATGGTCTGAAATGTTCAAGACCATTAAAACCCAATAAGTGTCTGTTTGATGGGCGGTTTCACATACTAATTGTGTGTTGAATGAATGATTAATACATAAGACTCCTCTTCCCCTATATATGGCTGACAAGTGTTTGTCAATAACACACTGAGAACATTGAACACACAAAATACACCCAATATATGAGCTATACATTTGTTTGTTCAAACGAAAAACTCTGTCAACTTTCTGATAAAACTCTCTCAGTTCTACCCTTTGTTCCAGTTCACCGGTTTAACCTATTGTGTGCTCAATAGAGTTGTTTGTTTGTCATCGTATAATGAGAAACCGACGCTGCAATGCTCCTAATAACACCGTGAAGAGGCATCAAATTGGTTTAAGGACATTAATTGTGTGTGGCACAAACTTTGGTTGTCCCTTTGTTTGATATGTTTTTCTGTCCTAGAACAACGACAATTCTATCTTCTGTTCCTTCGGATAAACTTTTTTTTCCGGAAAATAAAACACTTTTTCTCTACAAAAGTATGCTCATAACTATTATGAATACAATTATAATCAATTAAAGTTGCTAAATCATATCTATTTTCATAAATATTGTTTTAATTACATTATACGAAAAAATTTCAAATTTATATTAGCAATTATATTATTTAAAATTCACGACTTTGGGAGGTATATTTCTAGTGTTGTTTTACTTAAAATACTACATACCACGTACAATTTATCTTTGTACTTCGTATAAAACATACGGTCAATGGTACTATGCCATAATTCGTTCTAGAACGGTAAATTCCATCTTGGATATTTAAAATGTGAAAATTTTAAATTTATGAAGGTATGCTAGTAAACCGTCTTCATTAAATTTATGAAGGTATGCTAGATTTATATATTTTATCTTTCAAATCTCTTGTCAATTTATTTTTTAACTTTTGGATTGATAAATTCATTTAACATTAGGGAAATTTACCCAAATAGGAGCAATTAAATTCTTAATTGTCAAAATAGGACAATAGTTTAAAAATTCCTCAAATAGGAGTTAATATTTTTAGTTAGACATAAACACCCTTGGAGCTTGGAAAACAGAAATCTGCTGACAGAACTCAAACCGCCGCCGGTCGCCGGCCTCAAATAGGAGTTTTAAAACGTCTCACAATTAAAAGTGTTGTTTCTATGATGACACAACTAAAAGTAAAAGAAATCAATACCAAGAATTAAGGACGTTTTCTTCCGAATTGTTTTAGGTCCTATACTATTTCAGATCATATCAGATTAGATCAGACATAAAAAGACCAAACCAGATTAGATCGAACTAGAATTGAACAATTATAAAACATACATAGACCAAACATTTATCAGATTAGATCAGTTCAGACTAAATTAGATCAGACTTAAACACATCAAATTAGATCCGATCACACAGCAAATTAACGTCCACTAGAAAAAATCCTAACCATCAAATCTAACACAATTACGAATTGCTGTCACAACACCACAAGGACTAATATAAATATATTAATCCTAAAAATACCGAAAATACATTCAATTATACTAGTACACGGAGACGGAGTACTAGTCTGATTAAAATACAACGAAAAGTCAAGTATCCTGGTCAAAAAAATCTGACTTGTACGGTTGTGGTACCTTTGAAAAGTCAACGTCCCATTCCATAGCAAATTCTTTTCCTGCCTACTCCCCCGCACACTATATTACTGGCTTCAGCCTAAGCCGCAAAACCAATTCAAGCCATGGCGTCCCTGAGCTGCGCCGCCGATCAGCTCGCTTCACTTCTTGGACCCAACACCACCAACGCCTCCGCCGCCGCTTCCTACATATGCCGGCAGTTTTCCGACGTCTCCGATGCTTTCGTCGTTACCGGTTACGCCGTTGACTCCACTTATCTCCTCTTCTCGGCTTACTTGGTCTTCTCTATGCAGCTCGGCTTCGCCATGCTCTGCGCCGGCTCAGTTCGCGCCAAGAACACCATGAACATCATGCTCACCAACGTCCTCGACGCCGCCGCCGGCGGACTCTTCTACTACCTTTTCGGGTTTGCCTTTGCCTTCGGAACCGGAGAGAAATCCAACGGCTTCATCGGAAATTACTTCTTCGGCTTGAAGGGTATCCCTGACGCTGACGCCGGGATGGATTACGCTAATTTTCTGTACCAGTGGGCTTTCGCCATAGCCGCCGCCGGTATAACGAGCGGCTCAATTGCCGAGCGGACCCAGTTTGTGGCTTATCTGATATACTCTGCTTTTCTTACCGGCTTTGTTTACCCGGTCGTCTCTCATTGGTTCTGGTCCGTAGACGGGTGGGCCAGCCCGACCAATAATTCAGATCTCCTGTTCGGATCCGGAGTCATTGATTTTGCCGGGTCAGGAGTCGTTCACATGGTGGGTGGAGTAGCCGGATTATACGGCGCAATAATCGAAGGCCCGAGAATCGGCAGATTCGATCGCTCGGGTCGATCCGTGGCTCTACGCGGTCATAGCGCGTCATTAGTTGTTCTGGGCACGTTCTTGTTGTGGTTCGGGTGGTACGGGTTCAATCCCGGGTCATTTACCAAAATACTGGTCGCCTATCCCGGCGGCGGCTTCTACGGCCAATGGAGTGCGGTGGGACGCACCGCCGTCACCACTACGTTGGCCGGCTGCACTGCCGCCCTCACCACCTTGTTCGTGAAAAGAATTTTGTCGGGACATTGGAATGTCACCGACGTGTGCAACGGGCTCTTGGGCGGGTTCGCGGCAATCACCGGCGGGTGCGCCGTTGTGGACCCGTGGGCGGCGATCATTTGCGGGTTCGTGGCGGCGTTGGTGTTGATTGGGTTTAATAAGCTGGCGGAGAAACTCAAATACGACGACCCATTAGAGGCGGCGCAGCTGCACGGCGGCTGTGGGGCTTGGGGGATTATATTCACGGCGTTATTCGCGAAGGAAAAGTACGTTAATGAGGTTTACAGGCCGGGCCGGCCTTACGGGTTGTTTATGGGCGGTGGCGGGAAGCTTCTTGCGGCCCATGTGGTCCAGATTTTGGTTATCTTCGGATGGGTAAGTGTCACAATGGGTCCTCTTTTCTACGCTCTACATAAATTGAATCTGTTGCGGATCTCGGAGGAGGATGAAATGTCGGGTATGGACTTGACCCGACATGGAGGATTTGCTTACGTGTATGATGATGAAGATCATGACCAAAGGCCCGGTGGATCCAGATGAGGAAAATTGAACTTCGTTTTCAAGTTTGAACTTGGCAAAAAGTCCCAACCCCATTTTTATTGTAAAGAGCAAAATGAGAACAATTCGTTTTCTTTTCAACTTTTTGAGTTTTAAGGATTGTAAAGTTTCGATGACTTATCTGTTTCGTTTTAAAAATTTGGAATAAGTAGCTCGCATCTTAGCTGTCATATGATCGGGACGATGTTTAGCGGATGAGTTTGATGAGAACGTATAATTGTTGTTTGGTTTATTCATCTTGAGAAGAGACTTTATCTTTCGTCCCAATTATTTAAATACATTTCATAAGTTTAGAATTTCACTTTTGTAAGTACTTTTGTGATTACGTATTACTCCCTTCGTCGCACTGAAACGTTTGACACGTTTGACGGTTCATTAAGTTAATTAATTCATATCATTAATCAAAACAAACAACTCCATTAATCAAGTAAATCGTTCGCCAACTAACTTACAATCGAGAGATGAGCCTTATTAATTGTGAAAAATATAAAGGAATAGAAGAGAAAATAAAGGAAGGAAAGAGAATCTAAAGAATGAGATAACAATGCAATCTCTTATATTTCATACGTGAGGCATGCATGGGTTTTATAGTACCATGCAACGGTCATAAAATTAAGATGAGCAAACAAATAATTCCTATACAATGAATCTAGTTTATGTAAAGAACATAAAGACAAAATACAATAAATGAATAACGTATACTTGAATTTTAAATTCTTCACTCCCCTTCAAGCTTATGGTTGGTACATGAGCTTGGATGTAAGTGTAGTGAAGGGTTGGGGAAGAAGAATTTTGGTGAAAATATCCGCAAGTTGCTGGTGGGACGGAACGAATGTTGTGCGTATTTTTCCTTCTTGAATTTTATCACGAATAAAGTGGCAATCGATTTCGACATGTTTTGTGCGTTCATGAAAAACCGGATTATTTGCAATGTGTAAGGCAGCTTGGTTGTCACAATGAAGGTGAGCTGGGTGACACGGTATACCTAGTTCTGAGAGAAGTAGCTGGATCCAGGTGATTTCACTAACTGCGGCTGCCATAGATCGGTATTCAGCTTCAGCAGAGGAACGAGAGACAGTTGTTTGTTTCTTAGTCCGCCATGATATTGGACTAGTCCCCAAGAATGTGCAATAGCCGGAGGTAGAGCGTCGAGTAGTGGGGCAAGACGCCCAATCAGCATCACAATAAACATTGAGGTGTAAGGAGGTGTCCTTAGCCAGTAGGATACCACGATCAGGAGCTGTTTTAAGGTAGTGAACAACACGTAAGGCAGCATCCCAATGAGTTTTACGAGGGCATGACATAAACTGGGAGAGCTGGTTAACAGAGTAAGTAATATCTGGTCTTGTAACGGTGAGGTAGAGAAGTCGACCAACCAAACGCCGATAGCGAGAGGGGTCATCAAGCAATGGGCCCGTGTCGTCCTGTAGGCGAGTACTAGCATCCATGGGTGTGATGGTTGGCTTGCAAGCAAGAAGCCCAACATCATTAAGGATCTCCAGAGCGTATTTCCGTTGCTTGAGAAATATGCCCAATGATGAGCGTGCAAATTCAATTCCTAAAAAATATTTTAATGGGCCGAGGTCTTTAAGGTGGAAATGGTGTGCTAAATACCACTTTATTATAGGGATGAGGAGCACGTCGTCACCTGTGATAACTATATCATCTACATAAACAAACAAAATTGTTAAATGTAACTTGCGTTTGTAAATAAACATAGAATAATCTGCTTTTGATTGAGTGAACCCGGCTTGTAATAGTGCGCTGGAGAAAGTGGCAAACCAAGTCCGGGAAGCTTGTTTAAGCCCATATATGGACTTATGGAGACGACAAACACGGTGCTCCCCCTTTTGGTGAAAACCGGGTGGGAGTTGCATGTACACTTCCTCATGTAAATGACCATGTAGGAATGCATTGGAGACATCAAGTTGATGGGTAGACCATCCTTTTGCCGCCGCAACGCTAAGTACAGTGCGAACGGTAGTGAGTTTAGTTACCGGAGCGAAGACATCGGTATAATCGAAACCTTCTAACTGAGAATAGCCTTTGGCAACAAGGCGTGCCTTATAGCGTTCAATGGTGCCATCAGGTTTATATTTTATTCGATATACCCATTTGCAGCCAATAGCATGCTTTCCTGGCGGTAATGGTTGGAGGGACCAAGTATGATTCTCTTCTAAAGCTGAAATTTCATTTTTCATTGCCTCAACCCAAAGAGGGTTCTTGCATGCCACTGTGTAGGAGGTGGGTTCCGTATGTTTAATAATATTATTAATATAGCAAACGTGACCTGCAGAATAAGAGCTAGAAGAGATAAAATTAGTTAAAGGGTATAGAGGAGATTGGGCGGGCGCTGCATGGCACTGATAATCTGAGAGATAGTGGGGTAATCTGGTTTGGCGGCTACTGCGTCTAGGGAGGGGTTGTATAGCTGGAGTATTGGCAGAATTATTTGAGGTTGAGGGAATAGGTAGTGTGCATGTATCGAACTGGATGGTGGGTGGTGAGGAATTTGGCTCCATTTGGTGAGTGGGGTGAAGAATATGTTGATTTATTGTCTTGGTGGGTGAAGGGGGGGCAATTGTCAGTGGGGTGGGCAAGGGAATTGTATTATTTAAACGTGATGGAGTAGAGGAAATCACGTAAGTGGTGTTTGAATTTAAATGGGTAGGTGTAGAAAATTGGTTTTGGGAGTTTGCGGAATTATTTGGTGTGGCGACAGAAGATGGAGCGTGAGATGTGTCTGGGAAGAGTTGTTCAGTGTCCGGAATGGGTAACGGTAAAATACTAGGTGCACCGGGGTTATCCGGAGAGGCAGGTAAATTTTTAAAAGGAAATATATCTTCATAAAATATAACATCACGACTAATAAAATACGTTTTATCTGTAAGATCATACAAACGATATGCTTTTTGTCCTTGTGGGTATCCAATAAATATACATTTTCTTGCACGAGGTGCAAATTTATGGGGGTGTTGGGAATTGGTGGACGCAAAACATAAACAACCAAAAGTGCGTAAAATTTTAAAATTAGGAGATTGGCGGTGTAATATTTCAAAAGGTGTTTTATTGTGTAAAATAGGAGACGGGGTTCTATTTATTAGATAAGTGGCGGTAAGAATACAATCACCCCAAAAAGAAAGCGGAAGGCCAGCTTGGAAGCGTAAGGCTCGTGCCATATTGAGAAGATGGCGATGCTTACGCTCCACTACACCATTTTGTTGTGGAGTGCTAGGACAACTTGTTTGGTGAAGTATACCATTTTCATTAAGAACTTTTTGAAAAATATGATTGGTAAATTCTGTACCATTATCAGATCGTATGATTTTGACGCATGTTTTAAAGTGATTTTTAATATAAGCCAAGAAATGAACAATTAAGGAAAAAACATCAGTTTTAAATTTCATTAAATAAGTCCACGTAGTGCGAGAAAAATCATCAACAATGGTTAAAAAATAATAGTGACCATTGTTTGTGGGATTTTTGTATTTTCCCCAAACATCAATATGAATTAGATCGAAACAATTTTGAGTAAAAGAGCTACGAATGGGAAAAGGCAATCTAGTCTGTTTAGACAAGTGGCATATATCACACAAATGTAATTTATTTGAACAACCAAGAATTGGAGATAATAATTTAAAGACATTAGAGGACGGATGGCCAAGGCGGGAGTGCCAAGTGGTGGGTGATGCGGCAAAAAACGTGGTCGGTGTGGGTGGAAGCGTTAGAAAATATAGTCCATATTTCCTATGGCCCCGACCAATCTCCTCCTTCGTCAAAAGGTCCTGAAAAATACAGTAGTTAGGATAAAAAATAACGCTACAATTTAAATCATGGGACAGTTTTGTAACGGAAAGTAAATTATAGTGAAATGAAGGAACATATAATACATTAGACAATGTAATTTTAGGAGTTAAAATAATATTGCCAATTCCATGAATGGGGGCAACGGAGCCATCAGGGATGGATATACTACGTTTATCCATAAGTGCAACTGGGAAAGTGGAAAAAATGTTAGGATCAAAAGAGACATGATCCGTTGCACCTGTGTCAATGATCCACTCTTGGGATAGTTTTAAAAAAGAAGCAAGAGTAAGAGACGTACCGGCAAGATTGGCCTTTGGTTCATTTACCTCCCGAAGAAGACGGAGAAGTTGTTGAATGGAATCGGAGGAGGTCGAAGGGGCGGGATTGGTGGTGGTGACGGTTGGAGCACCATGAGTATTTCCTTTCTTGTAATATTTGTGGCCAGGTGGATATCCATGTAAGCGGTAGCACACTTGTTGTGTGTGTCCAGGGATGCCACAGTGAGTACAACGAGGCCGGTTAGAGTTAGGGTGTGAGTAGTTGCGTGAGATAGAATTTGTATGAGCGATATGGGTTTTGCCGGTTTGGGTGGCCGGTGTAGCTAGGAGAGCGGAGGTGGTGTCAGTGTGGTAGGACTGACTCTGGAGACGTTGAGCCTCATCTTGAAGAAGTAAATTATAAGCTTGGTGGACTGGAGGGAGGACAGTGGTGAGTAAAAGTTGGCTACGCGATGCCGCGAATGTATCACGGAGACCCATAAGAAATTGCATGAGACGGCGGCGGTCAAGTTGAGCGGCATATTGAGTGCGGGCGGCACAAGTGCACTTGGGCGGTGGATCAGCAAGAGTTAGTTCACTCCAAAGGCGTTGGAGTTTGTTGTGATAAACGGCAATAGTGTCGTCATGTTGGTTAAGGGTAGATATTTGGCGTTCAAGGTCATAAATCCGAGGTCCACTAGAGGTTGAGAAACGAGCCTTGAGGTCCGACCACACTGTGGCGGCATCGGGAGCATAAAGGACGGTGTGAGCAAGGTTGACGTGAATAGAGTGGAGGATCCATGACATGACCAAATTGTTAACCCGGTGCCATCGGTCGTGGTTGGGGTCGTCACGAGAAGGCATGGGAAGAGAGCCATCAACAAAAGAAAATTTATTTCGGCCACGTAAAGCCATTATCATGGCGAGAGACCAAGCATTGTAATCATCTAGGCCGGTGAGCAGGTGACCAACCAAGGCGGCACCGGTGCTGTCGGAAGGGTGGATGAAATACGGGCTATCTGTGTCATGAGTGGAGGGATGATGTAATGGGATGTGGGTGGCTGCAGAGGTAACTCCGGTAGTTGTGTGGAGGGGTGGGGATGTGGGTGATTCATCATGTGATACCATATTAATTGTGAAAAATATAAAGGAATAAAAGAGAAAATAAAGGAAGGAAAGAGAATCTAAAGAATGAGATAACAATGCAATCTCTTATATTTCATACGTGAGGCATGCATGGGTTTTATAGTACCATGCAACGGTCATAAAATTAAGATGAGCAAACAAATAATTCCTATACAATGAATCTAGTTTATGTAAAGAACATAAAGACAAAATACAATAAATGAATAACGTATACTTGAATTTTAAATTCTTCAGGCCTCATTATATATAGTCCTCTGATCTGAGATCAAAACGTGTGCTCTAGCCAGCGCATGAGTCGCACAATTCGCAGATAGTTTACAAAAGAGACAACATAATTACTCTTTAATTCTAACATATGCTTTATGTCATCAACAATCAAATGTAAATAAGCCGATCCGCTGCCCTTCATAATCCCTTGAACAACTATTAAAGCATCTGACTCAATTACTACTCTTTCCCAACCCTCTTCCACCGCCTTGAGAACGGCATCTCGAATGCCCACTGCCTCCGTCTCTGCGGCGATCCGTTGCCCTTCATAAAATTTGCATATTTAAAAACTAAATTAAAATTTTTATAGACTCACAAAAAGAAAAATCAAATTTGATAAATGTTGGATAAATGAAGTAAAAGATTAAAAACAATTCAAGTTGAGCGGAATATAGTAATGGCACTTTATACAAATGCAGAGTGTGTCGTTCACCCCAAGTATCTAACACCAAATAATAATATTTGATGACACCAGTAACATAAGATATTGATCACACCAATGATGAATGTGATGTCCATGTTGCAATTGACATGAATTTTTCAATAGTAAAATACATTCTTATTAACCGAATTGCAAATCATTCGAGCTCGCATCTGGGTGTGCTCAAGCTTAAGTTTGAAATTAATGTAATAGTTCGAGTTCGAGAACTTAAACAAGCTTAATGTTTTTGGCTCTAGTTGAATTCACGCCCAGTTCTTGTATGACTTATTATTAGATTTGAAGCATTTTATTAATTTCAAAATTCATTATTATTTTTTAGTTACACATATATAAACATACGGATTTAGGGGGCCAACCTAGGTCTTGACCCAATGTAAGAAATATTTTTTGTACCGCCTCTGTCCGGCTCAATCCCCGGGCTCGGCCTGTCTATACAAATGTGTGTGTGTGTGTGTGAGTATTTGTACTCAAATAACTATCCAAAGAGTTTGTAAATTTTGAACACAATCTATACTACTTTCTTAATAAATTTAAGTTTGAATAAATAATTTGCTTCTTTACCTAACTACAAGAGATTTTGATATTCTTAGCTTTGGCATTATGGAGTATGGCATTAAGGGTTTACTAGGGACTTAGGGATTACTTTATAATGGTGTCAATTTTAATGTTGATCGACATCAGAAAGAGAAAGAAACTAATTGGCCAGTGTTACTTGCTAGTTCAAGCTTTTGTTGCAACATCAATAGATCCCGGCTCCTTGTCTCTTAATTATTTGTACAACAAGAATCATTTACATACGAAGTACATATATGGCATGTATTTTTAATTCTGATCTGCATGTAAATTCAACATTAACCATTAAATGTTGAATAGTTAATACTAACAAATTAAAGTAGAATGTGCACTGGCTACTACAATAAACTTATAACGTACGTACCCTTGTGCATCACTAACTTTTGTAAAATAGAATGCCCATTGTCTACTACAACTGTCTATCACTAAATTTTAATCATACAATTTCTATTCTATTATTCCACCTAAAAGTCAAATTGGTCACATTTTACGAGACATGGGAGTTTAAAATAATACGGAGTAGCATAGAGAAAAATAACAAAGCATATATGGAGTACTTGTTTGAGACATGAAAGTATGATCAGTAGAGTAGTGTATTGGTTATAGAACTAATGCTTTTGTTTTGCATCTGGATAATTGAAATAAATCAAATAATAGATCTATATGATTTTTATTCTAGAAAAATCAATATGCAGAATCAATATTTTTTTTTGGTAATTTGAGTTTGCACCCCATATTATTATCTAAATTGGACTTTGCACCTCATTTTTTAAAATCTTTGTTTTTGCACCCCAACCCGATATGAAAAAACAAAAATGCCCTCAATCAGGAATATATTGAAGGTCAACAAAATTGTTAATGGAGGGACATTTTTGTCTTTTCATATGGGGTTGGGGTGGAAAAACAAAGAGTTTTAAAAACAGGATGCATAATCCAATTTAGATAATAGTTTGGGATGCAAACTCAAATTACCCCTCTTTTTTTTGACAAAGGGGGAATTAAGTTGAAGCAACAAAGATTTGTCTTAGGTGGCCCGATCGACCGATTCCAGATTCTGAGTTGTGTACAACTAAGGTCTAAGGTGCATAAATGGAGCAATAATCCAAATTATTTAAGCTCACTCTACCCTCCTATACTGTCTTACTTAGGCTAATTAAGGTCCCGTTGACTTAATGGACTTTATTCGTTGAGCTATATCATTGTGTTTACTTGGGACTTGAATTATAAAGTGACTTATTCGCTTGAATCATTTTCGACTTAATGGTTCAACTCAATTTTAATACGAGAAAATAATCAAAATGGTACTTAGGATGTTTTTACTTGGATTGTAATTTGCCCCAGACCAGACCAGACCAGTCCAGACCAGACCAGACCAGACTTGGATAGTTATAAAAATACAAAGAAACCAGACCTTACCAGACTAGACCAGACCAGACCAGACCAGATCAGACCAGCAAATTACAGTCCAAGTAAAAACATCCTTAAGCTTGTCAAGCATAAAGAGTACTTCACCAAGCATTAGACACCCCAAAGTACATAAACTTGATATTTTTGGGTTGGTTTAGTACATCTTTAATTCTAGCGTTAAAAATTGATATGCAGGAAAAAGCCGTTTATTTTGTACCGTTACTATTCAAGTCAGTGAATCATTCCTATAAACCCTAATTTCTTTCTGGAGCTTTGCTACATCATCCATCTCTTCTTTCTTTTGTTGTCTTCTCTTCTCCTCCGTGCAAGCTACCATATCTCTTTCCGTTTCTTCCTTTGCTTTCTCTGTTCTTAGACCTGCTGGTATTGTTTTTGTTTTAAGCTAAATCTAACAAAGATGAGCTAAGCCATTTATTCTTCACTTGTGCATGACAACAGGATGCCAAAGAGTACAGAGCCAAAATAGAAGGGATTGAAAGTGAAAGGCAAACTGAGAAAGTGGAAATCATCACATTTTTGACTTGGCAGCTAAAAACCCCAAGTGCGAAATCTATAGAGCCAGCTAGTAACTGAACTCTATATCCTCTTGACCAATCATTGCTCTATGTATTTACAATTCCTCCATCCAACTGGCTCTAAATCTAACATAGATGAGCTAAGCCATTTATTGTTTACTTGTGCATGACAACAGGATGTCAAAGAGTACAGAGCCAAAACAAGAAGGGATTGAAAGTGAAAGGCAAACTGGAGAAAGTGGAAACAATCACATTCTTGACTTGGCACTCTAAAAACCCCAACCTAATTAAGTGCCAAATCTACAGAGCAAGCTAGTAACAGAACTATATATCCTCTTGACCAATCATTGCCCTTTGTATTTACAATTCCTCCATCCAACTGGCTCTAAATCTAACATAGATGAGCTAAGCCATTTATTGTTTACTTGTGCATGACAACAGGATGTCAAAGAGTACAGAGCCAAAACAAGAAGGGATTGAAAGTGAAAGGCAAACTGGAGAAAGTGGAAACAATCACATTCTTGACTTGGCACTCTAAAAACCCCAACCTAATTAAGTGCCAAATCTACATAGCCAGCTAGTAACAGAACTATATAAAGAAATTGCTTGTTATGGGAGTAAAACATAACCGGAATGCCAAAGTAGGACCGAACTATTTAAATTCCCAAAGTAGGAGCTCTTTTCCAATTTTGCCCTCCCTGCATTAATGATTCCCTTTTCCTTTTATCTGTCTCGCACACCTCCCTCCACAGCACGTATCATCTTCCACTCCATCCCTCATTATCATTTATTTCTCTCCCATCTTTATCTTACTTCCCATCTTCTTCTTTCCCATGGATTTCGAAGGCCGAAAAAAATATTCTTCTCACCTAGCCTCTTCTGTTGTGGTCGATTTCTCTTCTAATTGTAACTCCGGCCATGGCCGGCCACTCCAGTTTGCAGCGCTATGAAGATCTTCTCTGGTAAATATTATCATCCTCTTCCTACATCTTCTTCTCTCGCACCATAGCTCCTCTATTTTCTTCTCTTGATTTTATCATCCTCTACTTTTCTGTTTTTTTCATTTGTTAAATCTTGATATTCAAAATAAAAAATTGCTAATTAGATCTAGAAATTTGGATCTTATTTTTCTATTTTTCGGATTTATATGTTTAAAAAATTGAATTAAAATATTTCTTATCCTTTTCAATTTGGAAATTTTTATTCAGAAATTGAATTGGAATATTTCTTATCCTTTTCAATCTGAAATTTTTTATTCAAATGTTTAATCAAAATATTTATTATTTTCAATCTGAGCATTTTTATTCAAAAATTGAATTGAAATATTTCTTATCCTATTCAATCATGAAATTTTTATTAAAAAATTGATGCCATCTCAAGATTGAAATATTAGATTTTTAACAACATATCACTTGTAATGCCATGTTTTCATTTAAAAAAATATCATAGTTTGGCAATTTGTGCCATTACAAGGAAGGTGTCATTTTGACATTTAGTTCCATTACATCAGTTATAATGCCATGTTTTCATTATGAAAGTTGATATTTTGGCAATTAATGTTAAGATGACACTGAATTGTTAAGATGGCATTCCACTGTAGTTCTATGCGCAGGACATAAATCTGCAACAATCTCACCGGAGGAGAAGGCCACAGTGCCAGAAGACACGATTCTTGTGCCATATGAGGTGGGCGGCAGCAACCATGCCTGACTAGGTGGCCTATGATGGCGATTCTGATGCAGTGGCCGGCAACAACCATTAAATATGCGGCGGCCAAAACAGTGTTTTAGGGGTTGCGACTAGCGACGTAAATTTCTATTTTAGC